TCAAACTCAGACTTCAATTTTACAGTGACCCAATTACTGATCTATAACTCAACTGTACTTGCCAGCAAATCTAATCCACTGGTGACTCACAGAGAGCTCTGTACCCCCCCAAAAATTTCTTTCTAAAAGTCTGTTTATAAATAAAAAATGCCAACTGAATTTGTACATAGTTTGAATCTGAGATATAAGCACAGTCACATCATTTCTATTCAAATGTAAGTAAATTTCACTTAAAATATTAAAACCAATGAGAACATTAATTTGAGGTTAAAAATTTCAACTTATAGAAAGGCATCAATAGTATTTTTTTTTATGGTGCGCATTTGCTCTCTAAATTTTGCTCTAGAGATTTTGGAAATCACATGGTTAGAAGCCAGTGTCTTCTAACTAACAAGACACTTTCTAAATTTCCCAACCTGAAGTTAGAATTAGTGAACTATTAAATTATTACATTCCTCACGTCTCAGTATCATCTCTCAGTACTGTGTGGAAAACCAGAGGGGGAAGTTTTGCATCTCTAACTAGTGAGCCACTGCTTTCTTTTCCTTTCCTAATAAATTACAGGCAGACTTGAACAGATGTCAGGTTGGCATTCAAAACCTAAAATATAGCTGCAAAGCAAGTTATGACTAATACGAGGGAAAAAGATGAATGTCAGGGAGCTTCATTTTCTTCTTCTTTTTTTCAAATTTCAGATAAGCTCTTTAGCCTTAGGGTTCCTTTTAAGGAGCCCTGGAGTTCGGCTAGATGTCTTAACCCCCATTTAAATTGCAATCTCTCCTCATGAGTGGGGGTGTGAAAATGCATTTTAAGAGTGTCAGTGTTTATGTTAATCTTAGCAAGAGCTCCCTCTCTCCCAAACATGGCATGTACAAAACCTTAGCGCCCTTTCTTCCACTGTATTTTCTTTGCACTGTTCTTAGCATCTGAAAGATGTCTGCTTGTGACTGAAAGGCTCCTTATCTCTCCGCAGCTCTACTTCATAGAGTAGCCATAGTCTCACTTATGATAGCAGAAAAAGAGTTGCTTTCCTCTACAATTTCAAAAGAAACCTTAAAAGTACAGATTGAAAATGGGCTTAGAGAGGGAGGCGCAGAGAAAAGGAACACACTGTCAGTTTCAAAGAATGGGGGCACAAGACCATAACAAGTGGCTTTCCTCCCCGCTTGGATAGCTGCAAGGTATAGATTCACTGAAGGACAGTGTGAGGCTTGGGGACTTAAGTTTCTATGCCCTTTGCCTTCTAAGTTCTAAAATGGATAACTTCTGCCAAAGCCCCTTTCCTTGGATACATGTCAGCCTAGTCCTAAAATTACATAAAGGGAAGCTAATTCTTTAACAATTATTCCACTGTTCTTTGAAAAGGATTTGTGTGTGTGTGTGTGTGTGTGTGTGTGTGTGTGTGTTTTTGCTCTGACATTTACAGTTGAGGTAATTGCCAAGGATGCTGAAAACTCTATCTTTGCCAACAAAATAGCTACCAAATGAGAAATGAGATAATCAATTGTTTATCCTGAGCACACTTCACAAAACTGCATGCAAAGGAATAAGTATGGTAAATGTCTGAATGGAAGAATATATTCAGTTCACACCTGAGTATGCTCAAGGACAGCAATCGGCTGTTGAATTTACTCACCTGTACTTTTAGATACCAGTTTTTGGTGCCCAAATTTCTTCTACCTGGGACTCAAAGAGTGCTTCTCTGAGTATTATCCCACAACGTAAGGGTTTAAGGTCATTCCTAATAAACACCTACCATTGTGGGGTTTGGAGGACACTGTCTAAACAGCTACTTGGTATCCACTGAGTGCAGGCAGAAGTCTAGTTTTCTTTGCTAATGCTTTAATATACTTCTAAGGAAGAACTACCAGAAGTGGGTTTGAGTGAGTACAACTGCTACAGACAGGGAGAACGTAGTTACACTGATTAAAACAATAACAAAAACAAAAGTCTTAAGCCGATAGTCCCCCTAAGTAATCCTTTTCCTGTTTCTGCACATGGCCTTTCCTCCTCTTTCTGCAGGGCTGTATGTGACTTCTTTTCCCCTTTAAGTCTTTCTGTGATTTTAATTTTATAAAAATATTACAACAAGCAGGTATATACTACGTAGTTGAAACTACTTCAAGAAAGAAACTAACAGATTGGAAACTAATAGGCAGGACGCTTATTTCATGTATATTACCTCATGTGATCCTTAATTTTACTACATAATTGTGTGCCTCTGGTTAGTCCTTTAGTCTTCCTATATCTCATCAGCAACATTCTGTATGTGTATAATCTATATTTTCAATTTTGAAAAGCAACATGAAGTTTTACAAGCAAAAAGAAAGAACTATATTACCTAGAAGCATAATTATCAGTCTCATAAACACGACAAAAGAGAATTCTGAATTTATCACTGTGTGAACTTGCAACTTTGATGTATAGGCAAAAAGATCCATTTAGTTAAGATTCCTGTTTACAAAGTAGACATAACTCTAGACTTCATGGTAAAGATAATGATTTGGTCTCAAGCCAAAAGTAAAAAAGTTCTCTTATTAAAAAAACAAACAAAAACAATACAGCCCCATAATTATTCTTCTCTAATCACTATTTTTTTTTCATTTAAATTGATTTAACCAATCATACCCAATGTCCAACTGGATCTCCAAACCATACAGGTTTATCTATTTAGTCAACAAAGGAAAATAATCAGGCAATTTTGTTTCCACCCAGCAGGGTAAAAGAGCACAGGGTATATACAAAAAGGACTTGTGCAGTGTAATTTTTATTCTATCCAAATGCAGCAATCTGCACTGTTATATACCTTTACCAAAGCCTAATGAGAACTTTATAACTACACTGTACTTGTAGTGCAATAACTATTCTATGATCTAATACCCTCAAAATTCAAAGGAAAAAAGAAGCCTTTATTGAAAAATAGGGAATGACACATGCATAGCAAGATAATTAATTATTTCTCAGCCATTTTACCAACAAAAAAAAAATAGTTTTAGGACACTGAGAATCGTCACTGAGAATAAACAAAATGTCTTAAAATTCAGCTCAAAGCCAAGGTAGCTTTATACTTTTTCTCTTTTAAATCAAATTGATAACATACGCTTCTTGATGGCAAAAAGCCAAAAACAGAAAAAAATATATATTTCTTTTTTAAAAAGGACAGAACTCTTTTTTTGGTCTAATAAAATTACTGTAAAAACATTAGAAAAATAAATCCATAAAAAAGGTTCTAGATAGTAGCACTCACAAACAAAATTCAAGTCCATGGTCTTTAGTCAAAAAGCATGTTAATGACAACAAAAGCATATTATTATAATTCAACTAATTTCAATATGGATCACAGAAACAGATTCACTAGAAATTTCAAATCTGTTTTGGTTTAATTTCAAACTTTTCAACAGCTGGCAATAATCACAAATCAACCAACGTGAGTTTTACTCCTTTATGTATTATCTACCCAATATAATGAGCAGCATTTAGATAATAATACAAACACAAAACTAATATCTGAATAACTGAATCTTCGATAGCTTCCAAACTGTGAGAAAACAGTTATAATATAAAGATACAGCTTTCCAGAAGCAGTTATTTCTATACTTGTTGGCTGGATAACATAATGTTCAAAGAAACAGAATCGTTAGACCCTTTCTGCACCAGGGCTCACTCTTGAAAACCAGAAAAAAAAATTCTACGAGAATCCCTTACAACACTTGGAATCATCTTTTTATCTCTGCTTAGGCCTAAAATATAAACAATATTTTCATGTCTTGATCAAAAAGCTTTATGGATTTATTGTGCCTCAAAATACACATTACCAAGCTAGTGAACTAGCACATTTTTTACTATTTTCAAATTAAAATTCTGTTTTTTTATGGACTTGGCCTTTGTATCTTTCAGATAAAAAAGTATGTTATTGCCATTTCAAGGTGTATAAAACTCAGGTGATGAGGGTCTCTGTCATTTTCTCTTAATCCAATTCCAAACTCGACCTTTACCCAGTGAACAGGTGTGTGTTCTGCCTGTAATTTATCAGAGTGAGCAACCAGGCAGAAAAGCTACCAACAATAGGAGGCTAATAGAACCAAGCACTTAGTGCCTAGAAAGCAGTTCTTATCCCCACCATTATGAATATACTTTTATCTTCCAGTAGCAATTTAAAGATAAAGAATGACGGGGGTGAGGGGAGTAATATATTCATATTCCTTCAGGTTTTTTTTGGATACTGTTTTTATACTAATCGTCTGCCAGAAGCTGTTATGTTGTAAATTCCTTCTCAGATATTCTGTTACTCACATTCCAATCCACCCTATGATATGGATATGAAAGCAGTCATGACAGGATTTCCACCAGGGCAAATAACACCACTTCACACAGATAGATTAAATATATCTTCAAGAAGAAAGTGATAAATGAATAGCATATTTCTTTGTATGCAATACGGAAACTCCTATGTATACCGAGTTTGTCTTATTGGATCAAACTTATCTAGTTTAAAAATGTGCCAAGTATCCATTTAGTAGGTATGAAGATGTACTAATTGGGTAATGCAACAGCACACTAAAAAGAAGCAGTGGCTATTCAAACAATGTCCACAGTCTAATAGGTAATGATTATTCAGCAGGGTAAATCTTACCCATAGTGGATCTTTAGAGTCAGATGAAATTTCTATTCCCTATAGTAAAATATTCATAAATAACTAAATAACATGAAATTTCTAAATGTCCTATGGAAAAAAATACCTGAATAAATATGTAAAATGGAGCAAGCCCACAAATATTTCTATGATTTCCCCATAAAATTAAAACATAATTTTAAAAGTTCTAACACTTTGAAGATATTTTTTTGTTTTTTTAGAAAACTTTTTTTTTAAAGAAGTTAAAAGAGAAAACTACTTTGGTAGGTTGAAGAATAATTTCAAAACATTACTGAAAAGAGACTTCATCCCACTCATTTTTTAAAAAAAAGAATACAAGAAATGAAATTTTCCTTTTTAAACTTACCCATCTGCTCCACAATCTCTGGAGGAAACACTCGGGAAGCAAATGCTCGTCGAAAAATATCTGAAAATTCCTTGTCCAGACCTCCTATTCCCATTTTTTCAAAGTTCCAGTCAGGATTGATGATAGACTGGCGATTTTCTTTAGTTTTAGCTTTGCCTGTGTCAAACAAAGATAAAAGCATGTGAAACAAGAACTTCATCAGTAAGTGTAAAAAGACAGAACACCCTGAGCATCTTCAGCGAGTAACAAGAAGCTACCCTTATAACGAAGATGAACAGCATGCTCTTCGCTGATGCTCTAATAAGAAGGATGAGTTCTGCTATGTTAACGATTTTGTCTTGTCCCATTTAGGGTCAGTAAAACACTTTCAAAATGACTAGTGAAACTCATGCTGTAGTCCATTTGCAATCAATCCATGGAGCTTGGTCTTATCAACCTTTAATCCTAACCAAGTTAACTACTTTGGTTGATGAGAAGAAACACCATGTGCATCGCTGATGAAGACAACACTAGTTGCCAGAAATGCAATTGAAATCTAGCAGTCCTTCAAGGGTCCTAAAGCAAGTGTATTTAAAAATATATATATTTATTGAGATTAAGTTATAACTGCGTATATAACCCCTCAGCCTGAGAAGATGCACTGAATAAGTTTGATGTCTCTTGTGCTTTTTCTTCACTTTCACAGAAGTCTAAAACCATCCTAAAGTCTTTAATGATTTCAAAATTTGTATTTTCAAATTCTTTCACGATAAAAATTGTTTAACGTAAATGTCATACTGCCACCTAAAGTAACTTAAGAGAATCACGTTATTTCAAATACAAAGAATAAAAGTACCTTAGTATATTCTACTATATACAAAAAAAGAAAGTCATATTGTAGGTTTTTTTAATTAGGAAAGAAAAGGTCACATTAGAAAAAGTTTATCCTAGATGGTAGTTTTATAGTTAGAGTTTTGTGGACTAAATCATTTCCTTTATGTAAGGAAAGCTATGTAAAATATTTTTCTTACACTCTACTGCTCTCTTGTGGCCAAATTTACTGCATGCTAAATCACTACACAATTTTATTTTCCAAATGGGAAAAACCTATGAATCACACATTTGCATGAATTACTTACAAATAACCACATTATATGAAAGTCACACAGCTCCCTTGGGATAAGATACCTTGACAAAAGGTGTACAAAACATAAAATACAAAAAAAAATCACTGTAGAAATGTATTGGATCAATAATAGATTTTGATATATCCTACATAATCAAAATAGCATACATAGTCATTAAAAATTATGTAAAGGTGTATTTATTAAGATACTTGACATATGTTAAGAAAAAGAACAAATTATAAAATAGTATGAAAATAGAACCAAATTTTAAGTTTAGAGTTGTGTGAGTTGTTTTTGAGTATCTATTCATATTTTACAAAATATTTTATAATTAAGAAAAAATAAGGGGGAATGATAATCTATGGATCAAGAAAAAAGGCCACACATTCTAACAAAATTAAATAACCTTGCATATGATGGTATGTAACAATGAAAATCCTCTATTTTCTATTGGAGTAGACAATCAACTCAGTTAAATCAATCGAAAATAAGAATTACTATACAGTTAATGGCATCATTATTCTGGTGAGTTAATATTCTTAAAGGCCAATCTGCATTATTTTAATATAATAAAAGTAGGGCTAATGTAAAAGAGTAGAGCTGAACTATGAATCCATTGGAAAGACTTACATTACCTGCACATTCATTGATGACGCAGAAAAAGAGTTAATGAGAACCAGTCTGGGAGCTAACAGGAATAAGCCTAAAAATTAATTGACTAAGTCAGAAAGAGTTAATAAGAATGAGGCTGGGAGCTAACAAGAATAGGTTTAAAGATTAACCACTTAGTTCTGAGCCCCCTGGCTAGCACTACACTTGCAGGCTGACAAACACCAGAACAATGTTCGGAGGAAGCAAACTGCGACAACAGTTCTCAGAAGGGGCCAGCAGCAATGGCAAACAACTACAAGGTGACCAGCCCCCTGCATCCTGCACAGAAAAATATAAAACCCCAGCTAAACAGCAACCGGCTGCAGCTGTCCACTCTAAGACTCTGTCCCCGGTAACCCTCTCCTTACTACCCACAACAGCTGTCCTCTTTAGACACTGCCATGGGCATTCTCTCTCTGCCCAACCTTCAATAAAACTTTTGTAGCTTTCCTACATTTCTCACCTTCTGCGAATGACCAGCGGTTAATTCTATGCCAATACATTCATCATTCAACTCAATCCCTAAGAGAAGTGATGCTAGTATCTCATTTAACACACAACCCATTCTACAGAATAACTGATCAGATCTCAAGGTCATGAAAGACCATGAAAGCTGGAGGAACTGTTAGAGATTAAAGACGACTATGGAGACTTAACAACTGAATGTAGTGTGGGAGCCTGAATTAGATCCTGAAACAGAAAAAGTACTTAATGAAAAATCTGGTGAAATCCAAATAAAGTCTGCAGTTTAGTTAGTAACAACATAACCGTGTTCATTTCATTTTGGTAACTGTACTATGGTTATTTAAGACGTAACATCAGAGAAAGCTGGTGAAGGGTATACAGGAACTCTCTGAATTACTTTTGCAAATCTTCAGTAAGTCTGAACTTATCTCAACACAAAATTTAAAAATTAATTTTATCTAGGTCTTTTTCCTTATTTATATGTGGTTACTAGGAAATTAAAAATGACATTATGTGGCTCACATATTTCTATTGGACAATGCTGATCTAGTGAAGGTTTTAAACTTTCTTCTACATCAGCACATCTGATAGATAGGAAATACTTCGTGGTTTTGTGAAAAGCTTTCTCAAGGGAGGTGCCCCTATACTCCTTCCCCGCTTGAAAATCAATGTAGTTGAGTCACTTATAACAACAGCAATAGACCCCACTTCATTCAGAATCCTCTAAAAACTAAATCTTACCAATAAGATTGAGTGATGAATTTTCTGCTTTTTCAAATGCAACTTGACTGTTTCCAACAACCAGTCCTACTTCAATCTGCACAGAAAGACAATAATTAGTAGTTCGTCTAATAGCAGACTTCTGGGCTTCTCAAAGCAAAGCCAAAAACGAAGGGGAAATGAGGCCTCTCTGAACAACGCAAATTTTCCAAACTATCATCTGAGTTACATTTACTTTTGTCATAACTACCTTCCATTATTCCTATATTCTTTATTTCAATGCACATATCTTTTCCTAATGCCTGTCTCATTGTTACTATTTATTTACAATTAATATTATCTGCATTCAACCAGGATTACAGGTACATATACAAATTTCAAATTACTATTAGGTCTGCAAATAAGTGTTATGCTATATTTTAATAACAATGCTGGCTATAAAAGCAATTTCCTCTCCCTACTATCTTAAAAGAAAGAGTACATAATATGAAAGAAATCACTGAGCGAGAGAATGGGTAGAAAAATTCGATTAATCTGCACAATTCACATCATAAAGATTATTTAATAAAGGTTATCAGAAATAAAACATACCTTCTGTCTTTTCCCTGTTGCAGGCTCTCCCTTCAGGATGCTAGGATCCATAGCTTCAATGTCTTTCACCAGCAAGCCAAACAGCTTTTCGTTGAAGCTAAACACAAGCTATGTAAAAAGCGGTAAGGAGAGGAAAATCACTTTATGATATAATAGCTTGACTCGCACATCATCACCCATGTTTTCCAAATGCAGGAAACCAGCTTTGTCCTATGTAGCCCTCTCAAATTCGCTCCGTAGCAAACTACCACCTAGCTATTAAAAGAAAAAGGGAATTAACATTTATTGAGTATTTGTTACATACCAAACAAATACACCACAGAAGGTTAAACAGTTAATATTCACAAACTCTCTTGGAAACAGAAATTATTCCTCAGTTTTATTAGTGAGGAGGCTGAGATCCAGAAAGGGGCTAAGCAATGGGACCCAGAGTCACAGTGAACGACAGTGCCAGGATTCAAGCCTGGGTCTGTGACTCTCATGTCCATGCTGTTCTACAATCAATACAAAATGCCTGCCATACAAGTGCAGAGACAGCATCTAGACACTCATTCATTAGCCAAGAATTTACTGAATGCCTTGCACAGGCCAGGCCCTCTTCTCCATGCTGGGCTGTAACAGGTAAAGCTGACTGCCAATCCTGCCACTACGGACAACTCCAAAGGGGAATAAATATAATAGTAAGAACTGTGATTTGTGGTAAGATTGACTTTTCTCTGTATTATGGAGGATTTTCTTTCATGGGCTTATTGACGTCTGCAAATGCCAAAGCATTTTCTATTAAACATTCTTCTAAACATATTCTATTAAAATACTAAAGGTGAAGGAGAAGGTAAAAACAATGAAGTTTAATGAGGTTATTTGAGCGTAACTGTCAGTCAAAACGTGGAGGAATCTGGAGGAATGCTGTGTAGCCCAAAAAGCAATGGATGGGTAGTCAAGAGATCATCAGCTAAATGTTTTCTGGGGGAGCCTTCTCGGACTGTTTAATCCAAAGTAGCACCACCGCAGCTCCCTAGTGCATCATCCAGTTTTACTTACATCCAAGTATTGGGTTGTCGGAAAAGTCATCAGTATTTTTTCTATGTTTTTCGTTGCAGAATGCGTCATGACTTTTCCAACAACCCAATATTTAACAGTACATGGCATTTTTATTTTGTCTTCCCAAAATAGAAAATAAGCTCTATGAAGAGTAGGAGTTATGTGTATTTTATTCACTTCTGATCTGCAGTGCCTGGGACATGTTGGTGTTCAATAAATATTTGTTTAATTAACAGATCAATTAACTAGTAGGCCCTTGTCTCATCTACACCCCTGAATATGTAGCCAGGGGCATGTCATTTATCTTCTCTGGACCGCAAATTCCTCATTTGCAAAATGAGGAGGTAAGACAAGATACTCTCTGAGGTTCATTCCAATTCTAGTAATCTGAAAAATAATAATAAATGCCCTGTATCCTTTTCCTGTCCAACAGTAACTCAGTTTCTACTTGCAAAAGTTTGAATTATAATGTGTGGATTATCAAATCCATGGAGTCTTGTTCCAGATCTATTCCATTTCAGTTAAACGAAAGAATGAAAAGAAATAACACTCCTTTCCAACCAACAACTCTTTCCTCTACCGCTTCTCTCAAGTCCCTATGTGAGAGACGGGAAGGGAAGTCATTAGAGATCGCCTAGCTACAAGCAAGGATTCTCAAATATTTTGCTCTCAGGATCCCTTTATAAGCCTAAAAATTTTTGAGGATCCCCCAAAAATTCGTTTATATAAATTATATATATCTACTGATATTTACCATATTAGAAATTAGAACAAAAAACTAAATATTTATGTATTAATTTTAAAATAATGAATAAATCCATCACGTATTAACAAAAATAACATAGTTTTAATTTATTTTTAAAAACTCTATTTTCAAAAATAAAAAACAGGGGCCGGCCAAGTGGCGTGATGGTTAAGAACTGGCTTGGGACGCCAGAGGGCCCCGGTTTGGATCCCACATATGAGGGCCAGTGACACTGCCCTCCACAGCTAAGATGCTGAACAACAGCTCAACCTGGAGCTGGGCGTAGGCTGCAGCCCCAGTGGCAGTGGGTTGCCATGGGCTACCGTGTGTAGCCAGCAGCCAGCGTGAGCGGCCAGCAGCCGCAGTGAGCGGCCATCCAGAAGCCGGCGACTGATCTGCCTCACCCGGGAAGAGCGCAATGATGGTGCCAACTTGGGCCAGTGAAGCAACGTCCTCCACAACTAGACTGAAGAACAAAACGACAGCAACTTGTCTGTTCCCCTTCCCCCAATTCCCCAGCACTGTTCCCATTCCCTCAATTCCCCAATAAAAATCTTTAAAATAAATAAATAAATAAATAAATAAATAATAAAAAACAGGGCCGGCCAAGTGGCACGTTGGTTAAGAGCTGGCTTGGGACACCAGAGGGTCCCGGTTTGGATCCCACATATGAGGGCCAGTGACACTGCCCTCTACAGCTAAGATGCTGAACAACAGTTCAACCTGGAGCTGGGCTGCCATGAGTTGCCTGCGACGGCGTAGGCTGCAGCCGCTGCTGCAATGGATTGCCATGGGCTACCGTGTGTAGCCAGCAGCCAGTGTGAACAGCCAGCAGCCGCTGTGAGCGGCCGTCCAGAAGCTGGTTACTGATCTGCCTTGCCCGGGAAGAGCGCAATGATGGTGCCAACTTGGGCCAGTGAAACAACGTCCTCCACAACTAGACTGAAGAACAAAAGGACAACAACTTGTCTGTTCCCCTTCCCCCACTTCTCCAGCGCTGTTCCCATCCCCCAATTCCCCAATAAAAAATCTTAAATAAATAAGTAAATAACATTAAGTTGGAAGAGTGGGACTGTCACATTTTAATGTCTGGCTTACTGGCAGACAGCTGGACCCTGATGCTTGATCAGTTGATGTGCTGCACTAGCACACAGTCTAGTGCGAGAATAAGAGGGAAAAGATACATAGTATCTTGATATTAATATGAAAATAGTTTGGACTTCACAACGCCCCCTGAAAGGGCCTCCGGGACCCCCAGGGGTCTAGAACCACACTTTGAGGACCACTGCTATAAAGCTATGGTAGGCAGAAGGAATTAGGAATCATTAAGACAAGTCATAAAGAAGGAGACAAATGTACTATAAGGGCAAAAGAGTAATGATTACTTATGTGTACAAACAAATAGCAATTTATGAACTCACACATTTTTTAGAATACAATTTTAAAAGAACAGAATTCCTCCCTAGGAGATTAACAATATATTAAGTGAAGTATAAAAAGAGGGGCAACATCAGCAATATCATTTTAAAGGAGAGAAAATCTGGGCTTCAGAGGTTCCGTGAAAAACCTGAAATATATATACATAATTTTCTTAAGATTCTCAAAGAAGCTCATAACCAAAAAAAGTTAAGAACTACCTTTGTACAGAATAGTGAAAGACAGCCAAAGACTAAACAAATGCTCCACCATAAGAAAAGAAGAAATTTGAGACATACACATCTGCAGTGTTCCCAAATTTACGGAGGGAAAAGCTGCTATAATTATATGACATTGTAACCTAAAAGCTACTTTAGAATTTTCTGAACAGACTCCTAGACGTTCAGTAGTTCCATCTCCCTCACTTTTTATCACTCAGCTTGGATATACCTGTTCATATGCAATCAGGTATATCCTGATTTTGGACAGCTACAGGGATTAGAATGCCTAGGAAGTGAAAGGAATGAAAGAAAATTTCAAACTACCTGTTGTCCCACTGAGAATGCCTGGTTGTTGAATTGTTGGATAAATTCTGCTGCCATCTTGTCGGTATCATAAGGGTTGGAGTCAATGCTTTTTTTCTGCAGGAAATCAATCTCGATGGTCGTTGTGCCAATACATTGTTTGGTTTTGTCAAATGAATATAAGGACACTAAAGGGGGAAAAGAAGCATTTTTTTTTTAAGTCACAAGGACACCAAATACTTGCTATGTTTCAAGTAATTAAAGTTTCACATAAATGAATTATAACAGAACTTGACCAAAAGGGGACTATACATGGCCTTCATTAAAGGGACACACAGGCACAGATTTGAAAACATAGTAATAAGCACCAGAGATTTTTTTTCCCCCATCTGAGTTAATTAGAACATATTGAACAACACTCTCCTTCAACTTTTCCCCCTCTTAGGAGGAAATCACAGCCCCCTGCTCCCCAAAATGACATCTGCATCTTCCTCCTTCTCATTTAACAGAGGACATTTACATTTCCAAGGAACTGGCATAGCACACTGTTTCCAAACAGATTTTTCTTTAACACAAGGAAGAGCTAAGGTGAGAGTTGTGTGGACTCTTTTGCCCTAACAAAGTAGAATGCAGGACCAAAAAAAAAGGCTTGAGAAATAGTGTTTACTAGAGGGATTTGCTCCAGAACAACTCAGAATTTGACATTTATTTTTTAATACTATAGAAATATTTACTGAGCACCTACTATATCCAGGAAAATACTCTAAGTTCTACATGTTTTTAACTCATCTTCATTATTAACAGCACCTATCGGTGCGTGTTATTATAGATACTTAATATATTCATGAACTATTTAAATGAAACAACAGCAAAAAAAAACCTACTCTCCTTGCTAATAAAAAGGTGGCAAAATAAAGATACTTCGGAATCTGTATGTTTTAATAAATTCTGTTTGTAACTAAGAGAAGCATTTAGCACTCTGTGCCTTGATTTGTCACATCTATAAAACAAGAAGACTGGATTAGATATATCTTTATACTAAATTCTTCACACTCTTAAATTCTCAGCCACTTGAGTTATATACAAGGATATTCCGTAAATTCTTTGAATGAAATTGCTTGGTAATGATATTAAAATATTAATCATGTATTTTGCTTTGCTGTCATAAAGAGACACACATATTTTAAAGATAAACATTTTCAAAAGAAAAATAGCAAAGAAAGCCAGAATGAGGAATAGAAAATGTACTGAAGATCACAGAATAAGTTCAAATCTCAGCTGAAAGTTTCAGAATACTCTCCTGCCGCCACTTCTGGATGTTTTGTTCTTTCTTAACATTTCCCAGAAAGTACAGGTTATATGCTGAGTAACTTTCATAAGCAAGAGAGCTTAGATGTTTCCCCACAGAGTGAAGATATGTATAGGATGAAATATTAATGTAAATATGAATAAGTTGATTCAAAATTCTATTTCCAGGTGTCTGTCCCAGAAAGACTCTTGAACATTTGCCTAAAAAGAGATCGATAGGGAGATTCATTGCAATATTATTTATAATAATCAAACACTGAAAAAATGCTGATCAGTAGGGGAATGATGAATAAAATAAAGCATATTCATAATATGGAATATCGTACAGCAATTTAAAAAACTTGATGTATATTTAATAAAGATGGATGGCCCATTAAAACATAATATTGAGTGAAAACAGCATATTGCAGAAAGATTTGTATAGCATGATCCCATTTTGTGCATTAAAGACTCCAAAACAATTCCATGTCATAATGCATATACAGGTATGGGTGTTTATGGGTGTGTGTGTGTACCATCTTCATACCAAGAAATTTAAAAAAGTATATTAAAATATCATTATTACTGACTATAGTTTTCAAGTACATTTTAATTTAACGTCAATGTTCTTAAATAGCAAAGAACAAGCTGCCACAACAATTTCAAATGCTTTGGGCAGGAAGTACCATGGACAGAGAGTCACAGGCAGCACCATGGTCAGCGCCACCATCAGCCCCAAAGGGACAGGTGCCCTGAAGGTTTCATACAGGAGCAAAGAAGGGTGAGAAGGTTGAAAATGTTTTCTTACTTTATGGTGAATATCAATTTAATGTCAAAGGTTAATAAAAAATATTTTTATACACAAAAATATAATTTATAGCCAATACTTTGAATAAACTTAGGCATCACAATGACAGGTTTGCTTCAATGGTCAAACACATGTTAATTGAACATCAGTCTGCAATACTTAAAATATGGCATTTCCAGATGAAGATAAGACGAAATGATTCTTTCAGAAGATTCCTCAGAGAAAAATCACGGACTTGACGAAAAAATTCTCACTTTACAGACAGAACTTCTTCCAGAATCTTTGCCTTAGCACTCCCTGCATACCACATCTCCTATACTATCTCTGCCTACACCTTTACTTACATGGAACCAGCTTCCTACCTTTATGGCCACATCATCCACATCACACAGGCCCCCACACCTTTCCTTGCCTCAAGCTTACTCTACCTGAGTCCCACCTGATCACTTGGTTTTACAATTGTGCCCATTAGAGGTCTGTTTGATTCACCTTTTAAAGAACTGACTTTACAATCAAGATAAAGCATTTCTGGTAGCAGAGGCATGCTTTAAACATGATTTAAGCCACAAAACACATTTCTCAATTCATCAAGATTTATAACCTTGAATGTGAAAACCTTTTCACAACAGAATTTATCTACATTAAAAGTTCAATTTAAACACACTCTTAATTAACCCTGTATTTAGAAAACCAAGTTTAAGACAATTAGAAACCTAAGCTATACACACATACATTTTCTCAGTAGATTTAACAAGTGTTTGTTTTTATTTCTGCCAATGTCTGCAAACAGGGAACCCTGGCTTCATGCACTGACCTCCTTCACTTTGGTGTTGAACTCCTGCACCGTCTCAGCTTCTCACTATGCTTTAGATGAGAAGGTGACAGTTAAGGGAACTCCTTTGGTCAGTGTTTCCCAAAATATGGCTGATAAGAACCACTTAAAGGCTGACTGTTAAAAACACAGATTCATGACTCAGACTTCCCAGGGGGAAGGCCTGGGTGTCTGTTTTTTAAAAACAAGCCCCAGGTGTTTCTTTCAGGCAAATTTGGAAAGCACTTGCATTTTCTTTCCTTCCCCTACTGTACCTATGAAGTTGACATGAAATTATCTAACACGATTTACACTCCATTTTCCCAACTCTAAGAGACAATCCAGTTTTTGCTTATAATCCACAAGTGGCTTAGTCCTATTTCCCCCCTTAGTCATAAATTGCTTTCCGTGCCCTTCCCTGGTAAACTAATGACGACTTTATAACACATTTCATTTTTAAAAGTGCATCGTATTGCCACCCTTTCTTCTCCTTAACCTAAATCTGACTTATCTTTCTAAACACAGAGGAAACATATCTAAGTATACAGTAAAATGCAATTGCCAAATAACACCAACTATTCCTCTTCAACATAACTTAAACTTTAAAAAAAATTTCCATAGCCATAATTTCACAAAATCTTGTTCAACTTAATTCTAGGCAAGTCAAATAACCTCCAAGGAATTCATTCGCCTTGACTCCTGAATTCTCCCCACTCCTCACTATATTCCACATGAACATTATAATCCTTTTCTAAAGGTATAATTTTGATAAGCTCATTCAGAAATTCTCAGGAGCTCTCAACTGTCTTTGTGTAAAATCCAAAGTGTTCAGTATATACTGCGGGCCCTCCACTAACTACACACTCTGCTCTCTCCAACACAATCCATTCAGGCAAACGTACTTCCTGAGCACCGCCTATAATTTGCTTGCTCCCATCTCAGTGCCTTTTATTATATTATTTCTCATCTTAGAAGCCTTTATTCTTTGTCTCTACCATGTAATATTTTCCCCTTACTTCATAATCATGCTTAAAACTCCAGTGCCTAATTTACAAATGCATCAGAAAACAAAAACAACAACAACAAAAAAACCACCTAGGAATAAATTTAACTGAGGAAGTACAAGGCCTGTACTCAGAAAATTATAAGACACTGAAAAGAGAAATTAAAGAAGATACAAATAAATGGAAGCATATACCGTATTCATGGATAGGAAGAATTAACATAGTTAAAATGCCTATACTACCCAAAGCAATCTATAGAGTCAATGCAATCCCTATCAAAATACCAATGGTATTTTTCACAGAACTAGAACAAACAATCCTAAAATTTATATGGAACCAAAAAAGACCCCGAATAGCCACAGTAATCTTGAAAAAGAAGAACAAAGCTAGAGGTATCACACTAGCCGACATTAAACTACTACAAGATCACAGTAATCAAAACAGCATGGTATTGGCATAAAAAGAGACACACAGATCAATGGAACAAAACAGAGAACCCAGAAATAAACCATGCCTATATGGTCATTTCATCTATGACAAAGGAAGCAAAAATGTACACTGGGGTAAAGACAGTCTATTCAATAAATGGTGCTGGTAAAACTGGACAGATACATGCAAAAAAATGAAACTGGATCACCTTCTTACTCCATATACAAGAATAAACCCAAAATGTATTAAAGACTTAAATGTAAGACCCAAAATCATAAAACTCCTAGAAGAAAACATAGGCAGTAAACCCTCAGACATTATCCTTAGTAATATTTTTACTGATATATCTCCTCAGGCAAGAAAAACAAAAGAAAAAAATACACAAATGGGACTACATCGAACTATAATAAAAAGTTTTTGCACAGCAAAGGAAACCATCAACAAATGAAAAGACACCCTACTAAATGGGAGAAGATATCTGCCAGTGATATATCTGATAAAAGGTTAATAGCCAAAATTTATAAAATCTCCAGTGCCTAGAAAAATTTCTCTGGCTAATTTTCCAGTCTCCAATCAATCCATCCACTCCTGTTCTATCTTAGCACTTTTACATAGAGCTCTTAATGGTAATATTTGTACAAAGAAATTACCTTGTGTGTATTCTATGGGCCATGAATGTGCAGATATTCTTTCTCCCACTAGACTGTAATTTCGAGGCAGAATATCATGCAGATGAAGAGGTAAGGAAATAGGTACCATAACTATTTAATTTCCATTCTCATAGATCTCACCAGTAATATGAATATGATGAATGTTTAACAGCTAGCAACCAGTAACAGAAAATTATACAGCCTTCCATAACTAGGAGAAAATTGACCTCAGGTAACTAAAAGTATACCTACCTTCTATTTCTTGCCCAATAGAAAGTCCAGCCCATTTTCGCTGTAAAATAAGAGGGGGGAAAAAAACAATCAAAATTAGAGAAATGAGGATTGTGCCCCACAAAAAGACATGTTGAAGGCTGAGCCCTGGCCCCTGTGAATGGGACTGTATTCGAAAATAAGATCTTTGCAGATGAAATCAAGTTAGGATGAGCTCACATCAAATTAGGGTGAGCCCTAAGACAATATGGCTGGCATCCTTGTAAGAGAAGACACACACAGACAACTGAGGTGAAAGTCATGTGACAATGGGGGCAGAGACTGAAGTGATATGTCTATCAGTCAAGGAATTGTTGTTCCAGAAACTATGCATGGAACAGGTTCTTCCCTAAGGCCTTCAGGGAGAGCACGGACCTGCTGACACCTTGATTTCAGAGCTATAGCCTCCAGAACTGTGAGAGAATACATTTCTGTTGTTGTAAGCCCCCCCCCGCCCCGGTTTGAGGTACTTTGTTACAGCAGTCTAGGAAACTTCTATGCTGCAGTTTGTATCTGAACATTCATCCCAAAGCATACAAGGTTTGTCTTTTTATAGAAAAGCCAGCACCACTGAGTAGTTGCTCCTTTACATAACATAATGCTCCTGAAAACCTGTGTAGTAACAGATAATATTTCAGCGCTCTAAATGTACCCACGTTAATTATACCATTTGTTACAGTATCACAAAAAGAAAGACACTCAAGTCATAAAAACTAAATTAAAATGTGTCAGATAATCTCTGCTGAAACCCAAGCAGGGATTCAAATCATTAGGTGGTGTCACGACTCGTCTTTGTATGCTAGCCAAATGATTTTCAGGCATTTGCAACCAGACCTTAGCTTCTCCTCAGGTCCTAACTGGTTACAATGGCAATAATGGACAGAGGTAGGCCAGATTGTGTTTAGGTAGGAATTTGGGACTGGCTTGGTATAGATTCAAAATTAGTAATTACTGGTAACACTCCAAAGAACAGTGAAAAAAATACTCTTTGGCTGAAAATTAATAGTTTGTCTACTCATCTGAACATTGTGGGTTTTGTGGCAGATAGTTAAGACAACGCTGAATTTTAAAAATGGGCAACACCAAGTGCTCTCCCTTCTAGCTTTCTCACCAGAGGTCACTCCTCACTCCTCTCTGCCCATCACATCCCTCTTCTGTAATATCCCATCTCAGCAGCCAACCTGAAATTTAGCAGCATGCTGATTAAGCCCAGACTTTGGTCACAGAACAGCCTCACTTAGGTTCTGTAGTTCAATCCCAGGTATAGCCCCAAAGGATGATAATAATACTATCTATGGTAAAGGGTCGTTTTGAGTATTGAATAAGCGAATACATGCAAAAGTACTTGGAGTCGTATCTGGCCTATAGTAAGGTAATTGGGGAAATATTTTTAATAGCTGGAAGACAAGGAAAAATAGTCAGAAACCCCATTTCTGACCACCAGAATCCCAGACGGAGCTCTGGGAAAGCTGGCAAACCCTGGAATATCTCAAACCTTTGATCTAAAGAAACAAATATGAAAAGTAGTCCTAATAATGGAGAGGCATTCAAACAGAGAAAAGAGAAATAGTGAATGAAGACTTCCCATCATTTTTTAGAGTTTCAAGAGATCTTTAACAGTTCCTAAAAACCGAGTGCTTGGTTGATCCCTTTCCCTAAACCTCCAGGGGAGAAAAATCAATGTGTATTAGCGTATTAGAAGGAATAGTACTTACAATGCATAGGACTGTGGGATCAGCAGCACAGGCAAGATGATGGGGGAGAAGAGGATACAGACAAGTACTTGTGGTGCTCCTAAATTAGATATTACAGGCCTGGGGTGGTGCGAGGCACCTTTCCCGCCACAGAGTTCACCAACAGTTATGAACATGATCATCATTTCCAGTCCTTACAGGAGCCCAGCAAGTTAGGTTGCACCAAGACAACAACTACTCGTATCAGATTCTTTAGTCTAACTTAACTGCGTTTTAAAACAAATTTTACAAGTAAACGTTATTTTTGTATCTTTTCTGTTACCCTAGGAGTTAACATTAAAATAGCTTGACGCCTTATCTGATAGCTAACTGATATTACTACAGAAATTTTAAAAATTAGAAAAAAAAATCGAGGCAATACAAGGCAGACACAGTAAAACTGGCAATTAGGAATATACGTATCTTTAAATTCCATATACTACCTAGATGTTGTTCTTCAATGTGAATCAACACAGTGGTAGGGTGATGCCTGCTTTAATGAACTGATTCTCCTACGACTTTCAAGAATAGAAGAGAAGAAATGAACACCTGAGTTACCTGTGGTAAGCTGAATGCAATGCTCCCTGGAACTACTGATGGGTGGGTCCTCAGGGTAAAGGTGTACCTGTGGTTGGGAGAGGTCCTCACAATCACGTGCCTAAAGACAGAAACACAGTCAGCCCTTCCTGTCAAAGGAGATGAAGAACGCCATTGCCAAACGTGTTCACTTCCAACAACTGGGGCTGGATGAGCACCAGGTGGAAACATGGCATTACATGAGAGGCCTGAAGGAACAAGACCACAGATTTCATTTCCAAAAAATGTCAGCAATTCAACATGCTTTCCAGGGATAAGGAGCACCTTTAGGCCAAACACACATCAAGGAGTATCAGGACCAAATTCAAGTGTCCATACTCGTACCATTCAAAATATCAACTTTCTTATATTTCCAGTTTATATAAAACTCATGACAGTGATTAGAGTCCTTAATATTAAGTAAAAATTAAATGAATTTCCTCTCCTGAGAATTATTTCACATCCTATATAAAGGGAGGAGAGCCAAAGATAGAAGAGTCTGGATACAACAGTCATAAAAAAAAGTTAGTTTTTAGGACTAGTCTTTAAATCTTTCTGCAGAGTCTCTCACAACAGGTTGAAACAGTAATAACATGTAAAATTAAAAAGGTTGTAAAAGTGAAAAATTTTCACAAAATATGTCAGCTTTCATATAGATACCAATATTTACTACTTCAAAGCATTTTGTGCTAATTCATCCTGCTCAGAAATTACCCATAAGCAAATATCATCTCATGATAATCTCTTATACCAAGAAACTACCAAGAACTGTGTGTGAGAGAAAAGCTTCAAACTGTTAGGCAACAGCTTCTTTTTTAAAATTATCTTTTAGAACACTATACTTTTTTAATATTAATGATTGCTTCTATACATATCATTTTGCCACTAGAACACAAGTTCCTTATATCTACTATATCTTAAGTAACTCCATCATGAGTATAGTGAACATGTGACGTATGTAAAAGAATTCCATTAACAAATTCTCACACTGGTTATCTATATTCCAGTTTATATGAGGAAACTTCTATGTTCCAACTGGCATCAGAGAATTTTTAGGACTGGAAACAATATTAATACACTCATGTAGTACAGCCCCTTACTCTGAAGCTGAAAACCAAAAATGATTGGCAATTCTAACTCTGTGACACTTGTGTATTTCACAGATTGCTTAAAACAAACAAACAAAAAAACCAGAGAGAGGCTCAGTGAAAATCCTGCTGCTTTGTTCCTTATTTCCCTGGTCTGCTTTCTGGTGCAGCTCCTCATCTCCTAACTACCAACCTCAGAAGGAAATATACCATATTTCCCCCATGTATAAGACGCACACTTTTCCGAAAAATTTGGGGTCTACAAACTGGGTGCGTCTTATACAGTGGTTGTAGATTTATTTTTTACTTGCATTTTCCGCTTTTTTCACGCTTGTTTTTGCGCTCATACAACCACTATATAAGATGCACCCAGTTTTTAGACCCCAGATTTTTCTTTAAAAGGTGCATCTTATACATGGGGAAATACGGTAGATGGCACTGAACTTGATAGCAGGGTCTTTAGAAGTTCTGGCAGTGGGTGACATGGGCCAGTTAAAATAAGTGACAATGAAAAATGCTTGAGAGATTCTACATTTGTTGTGCACCTTCCAATTTCCATGTCTTTTAGATTATCATGGTAGTAGTGATCAAAACAGCTAGCATTTATTGAGGACTTATCAACGTGCAAGACATTGTTCTAAGTGCTTTATTTGTATAACTATCTTCACAACTACCCTGATATTATCATCTCCATTTTACAGATTAGGGCATAGAGACAGAGATGGTAAATAACTTATCCATGGTCACTCAATTTGTAGACAGAGCCAGAATCCAAATTTAGACAATCTGAATCCGAGCCAAAAACCCAATGAGTGCATTACATATGACTCATACAACCAGTCGATAAAAAATAAGTTATATATAAAGAGCTATGTATGATTTTAAAAACATTATAGTTATCAAAATTTAAGAGTAAAGACTGATATACATAACTCTTTCTCATCTCTCCCATTTTCTAACTCAGCAAGAGGAATAAAAAATTATTCTCAAGTTTACCACAAAATAAGGGCTCTTTAGAAGTGTAAAATACCACCTCCAGGTTAGAAGAAAATAAAGTTAGAGACTCACTGGCCAGACTGGAAATCTTTTTCATTCACAACTGCACAGTTGGTTAAAGATAATTCATCTGTAGGACATCTCGCAGCTTGCATACTCTAAAAATCAATGATGAGGGAAATAAAATTCAGTCATCTGTTATAAACTTAAAAGAATAGTCGATACCTTCCTGTCCTCGTCCTCTATTCCTCATCACCTGTTGTAAACATGTTGTTTCTGACTCCCAGCATCCCTTCCTCTGTGAAAATAGCAAACCCTTCCTCTGGGAAACTGTTTCTTCCCCATTGCACAGGCTTGTGTGGCCTTGCCAATCACAGCACTAAGACACCACCCAGAGCCCTATTCCACCCATGGGCTCTTATGGAGACAGGTAATAGAAGAAAGGCATTCTCTCTTGCCTCACCACCACATGGAGGGAGGCTTTCTGCTTTAAAAGAGAATAAAATTATCACAGAGAAAGCAAAGGAAACAGAGACATAGACAAACAGACACCTTGAAACACAGATCCAAAAACCAAGTTAAAGACCTTGAGTCTGGAATATTGGTTATGAGCCAATAAATTCTCTTTTTTGCTCAAGCTTATTTGAGTTGGTTTTCCATCTCTTTCAAAGAAAAGAATTTTGACTGATTCAAGCACAATGAAGTAAATTCAGTAAGTTTGGTAAAATGTATCATTTTTAAATGAATGAATCTTTTTATAAGAGATTCCAAGTGGCTATGAACAATATCTCCTACAGGCTGAGAAGAACCATCTTCCAAATATTTCCCAACAAAGATAATTACAGGCTATATTGTTAAAAAACAGCGATTAACAATTTTTTTTTTATCAACAGCGACTAGTGAAACATTCCTTCATATAACGTATTTAACCAGTAACCCTTCCACCATCCTCTAAGGTTTCCTAGTTAGTAAAATATGACACTCAGTCACAGTCTATTTATGACTAAAGTGCTCATTCTTTAAACCTCAGGCCAAAGCGGATTCTTCCAAATACAAATTTATGGAGGAAAACAAATTACTTTTGGCTTTGCTTTTGTTTTCATTAAAAGGCCAGTGTCAATAGTTAGCCCAGTTATTTGGAGCAGGGGTCTCTAAAAGTGGGATCTATGCACCTGAAGGGTTTGCAAGATAATCCAAGTATTGGAATAAATCGAATTTAGAAACAGGCCTCTGAAGAGGTGTACCACAGAATATTACACTGAGAGTTTAAGGAATAACGAAGCCTCACCTTGCTTTCTGTCTTAATAAAAGGGAAACGAGAATATATTTTTCATCTTTAGCTCATCCTTTTTTATTTCTATGTTTTACTATGTACATAAATGATTAGCATATAAGTTATAAATATGTACATATACTGGGGATGCATAAAACATTTTTTACTTTTGGGATTCATGATACACTGTTGGGAAATCACTATTCATTATAGAACCTAAAATGAATAAAGTCTGGGTCATACGTTTGCTTTCTGAATGACAGTATTTTTGCCAACGGTCACGGTTTCATCAGCCATCTGACCAAATGTACTGAGCTTTTTAGCTCCCCTACAAGCTTCTTTCTGTTACAGTAGTCCCCCTCCTTATCCATGCTTTCACTTTCCACAATATCAGTTATCCGTGGTCAACCGCAGTCTGAAAATATTAAATGGAAAATTCCAGAAATAAACAATTCATAAGTGTTAAATTGCATGGCGTTTGGAGTAGTGTGTAGAAATCTCACGCCATCCCGTGCTGTCCCACCCGGCTGTGAAACATTCCCTTTGTCCAGAGTATCCACACTGTGTGCCACCACTCATTAAACATCTAGTAGCCATCTCGGTTATCAGATAGGTTATCAGGGATAGACCACATTCACATAACTTTTATTACAGTTTATTACAATTGCTCTATTTTATTATTAGTTATTGTTAATCTCTTACTGTGCCTAATTTATAAGTTAAACCATATTACAGGTGTGTATGTATAGAAAAAAACAGTATATATAGGGTTCGGTACTATCTGCAATTTCAGGCATTCACTGGGGTTCTTGAAACATATCCTCTGTGAATAAGGGGGGGACTGCTGTATATTCTTCCCTCACCCTTAACTAGGAGCCCCTTGCCTGCCAACCCCTATTCATTCTACAATTCTCAGCAGACATTACTTCTTCTAGGAGACATTCCCAGACACCTTACTCTCCCCACTAAACTGACTAAACAAACTTCAAATGTTAGCACCTGACTGTATTTTTATTTTATTGTCTGTTTACATGTTTGCATTGCATAAAAGACAGTAAACTTCTCAAGGACTAAGACTATCTTGCACCAGTTTTTGAGGCTAGTATAGGGTCTGGCATGCAGTGAGTGATCGTCAAACATTTGTTGAATAAATGAACTATGGGTGAATACAAAACTATCTCAACCGCAGAACAAACAATTCAAAGAACATGCATACAAAGAACATTTCAAGCTTATTTAGGGAGTGACATAATTTAATTAAAATTATCTACTAGTTAAAAATTACACAGAATTGATATAGCCAAAGTGATAAAAATATTTACAAAATGCTGTTAAACTTTTCATTTATCAACTTGTTTACTTATCAAAGAGGTGGTGTCCTTCAAAGGAGAGTGAAAAAATCTTTAGAAGTCATCTGGCTAGCCAACGAAAGCAGATGCTGTGAGCAAAAGGCCTCCCTACTGGAATCTAGAAGCAACTGTGTTTTCATGGGAAGCCAAGCAGGGTGCCTCACTTTCTCATCAAAATATAAGTCCCTATAAATAGTAGCTGTTTATTTACCACAGTAATGCCAAGGGAATATTCCACAATTTTTCTGACATTGACCTTGCCTCTAGGAAACAATAACAAAAGTCCAGCCACTGTAACCATGTAGCTATTAAGAAATGAAAATACAGAACAGACGGGCAATTTTATATAAACCTAGTAATCTGAGTGACCAGAACATTTAGCTGTTGAAGGCTGTAGAAATGTTTTCATTAACAAATTGAAATGTAAAAAATTATTCACTGCTGCTCAAAAGAATGAAAATCCCAACAAATCTTTAATGGAAACTTCAGGGGAAGTAATTATATCATTGCTTATGTGAGAGCCTTTAAAGTGCAGAAAGAGAATTTGCTTCTCTCCATGAAAAAATTGAGGGGATTTAACCAGGACTCCTCTTGGTAACATTATACAGTTATTGAATTTAAATAACATACTTTTGGGCCGGCCGAGTGGCGCGATGGTTAAGAACTGGCTTGGGACGCCAGAGGGCCCCGGTTCGGATCCCACATATGAGGGCCAGTGACACTGCCCTCTGCAGCTAAGATGCTGAACAACAGCTCAACCTGGAGCTGGGCTGCCGGGAGTCGCCGGGATAGTGTAGGCTGCAGCCCCAGTGGCAGTGGGTTGCCATGGGCTACCGTGTGTAGCCAGAAGCCACCGTGAGCGGCCAGCAGCCGCAGTAAGCGGCCGTCCAGAAGCCGGCGACTGATCTGCCTCACTCGGGAAGAGCGCAATGATGGTGCCGACTTGGGCCAGTGAAGCAACGTCCTCCCAACTAGACTGAAGAACAAAAGGACAGCAACTTGTCTGTTCCCCTTCCCCCAATTCTCCAATAAAAATCTTTTTTAAAATCTTAAAAAACAAAACAAAACATACTTTCATCCAAAGGTCCACTTTAAAAATTGCATTATTTAGGTCTATGGGTTGTTTACCAAAGAAGCAAGCAGGGCAAAATAAACAGAAAAAAACGGAGTATAGGCCTGACTAAAAGGGCTCATCGCCAATCACGTGCCCCTCCCCTAACTGCAACACTCATGGATCCACTGGTTCTTTCTCTGTGATGCTTCAGGCTTTGGTTTCATCTCTCAATAGTGTAAGGGTATCACGAACTCCAAATTAACCTAGAAGTTTAATATAATTACAAGCAAAATCCCAATGGGTCTTTTGTAAATTCAGTCTAAATGGCAACTGGCAAAGCAAATGTAGCAGGGGACATGGGAGGGAAGTTTTAATTTGTGAAAGTAGCCAAGAAAAATTTCAGAAAGAGTGAGGGAGACTGGCCCTAGTAGACATCAAAACATGCCATACACCATAATTAAAACGTCGTACAGAAACACATAGTTCAGAAACCCAGAAATAGAACTAGATACACATGAGAACTTTATACAGTATATGAGATTTATCATCAGCAGGGCAAAGCTGAACTAATAAATAGTGTTGAGAAACTTACTATACATTTGGTGGTTGGGGAGCGTGTTAATAATAATAGCGAATATGTTAAGAGAGCTTATTATATGCCAAGCACTGTTTTACGAGCTTTATACCGGAAAGCACCCCAGCCCACGAGTCTCTTTCTTATTGCCAAAATCTAAATAACATTATTTGCCTCATTCTAGCTAACATTTTTGTTTCCTATAACACACAAAAAAATTACTTCTCTCTAAATGCTTCTCTAAACATGACTCATTCTGAATATTGCATACTTAGGAAAGAAAACTCTTCTAATTTTAAGGTGACTAGACTGAAGATTCCATGTTTTCATCCTATAGCTGCCTCCAATTCGATTCAAACGCAGCTCCATTTCACCACATTCAAGAATCACAACGTTCTATTCTGAACCTTATGGGAGCATCTCAAAGGACGTATCTCAAATGCATAGGAGGTAGAACCCTTCACCTGTAGGTTTGATCCCAACCCATCTATCCAGCCTTTGCTCTTTAGCATCTTGAGTCACTGCAGTGAGCCTCTCCCCCCCAGAGGCATGTCCATGCCACTCAGTGACTTAAAAAGCAAAAAGCCCTTAACTCTACTGTAGTTTCCTCAGATTATTAACCTTTTCTCTCTTCACTTCACAACCAAACTTCTCAAGTCTCTCTTCCTTGCCTCCCATTTTCTCATCCTATAGCAATCTTCTTCAATCATCCTTTGGAATTTTCTCCAGCAACCACTTTACTGCGCCATCATCACCACTATCTAATTCTAGAACATTTCCCGCACTCCGAAAAGAAACCCTGTACCTATTAGCAGTTAGTCCCAATACTCGCCTTCCTTTACCCCCTGGCAACCGCTTGTCTACTTTCTGTCTTTCTGGAGTTGTCTATTCCGGGTATTTCATATAAA